CTATCATCATTGACCCCTTCCTAATGATCTAGTCATTGCCCTGATCCCAGTAAGGAGCAAGCTGAGAGGGCAACTTTTCCTGCACTTGGCACAGAACCTTGGGTCCCAAAAACTATAGAGATCATCAGTCTACCCTTAGCCCCCATCTCTCTGTTACAGGAGAGGAGACCAAGACCCAGTGAAATTAAAAGTCAAAGGCATGTTGTCATGGGAATTCAGCGAGTGCTTTCTGATGCAGAGGTTTCCCGATTTCCCAAAGAGAGGCTTAAAAGATGTTGAATCGATGATAATAGTGCCACATATGGAGAACTTGCTGTGCGCCAGGAACTGTGTATTCAGAGACATTTGCCATCATTGTGTCACTTAAAACCCTCACAATGACAAAATTGAAATACTGTCATTTGGTGGTTGGGGAAACTGAAGTTTGGAAAGATCATGTGACTCACACATGGTCACATAGCTAAGGGCTGTGGTGGGATTTGAACCTGTCTGACTCTTCCGAAGATCATGGTATTAATGATTCTGAACACTTTCCCTCTGTTCCATGTGAGGGAGAGAAGGGAAGGGTCCCGTAGGGATGAGGCTGATCCCTGGGACGTCGATGGATCAATAGGTGCCTGTATCCAACACACACACACACACACACACATACACAGGTACACCTTCTTGTCCTAGTCTTGTGGAGATCTAACCAGACATTTAGCAAGGCCTCCTGGGACTTCATTTTCCCTTTGAGCTTCAGAAATAGGACCGTGTGTTCAACAGAGACTGTATCACTTCATTTGCTCTGATGCATTGAAAACTTACCCTGGGGAAAAAAAAAACTTACCCTGGGAGGAAATGTGGTGCAGCTTGGGAATGCACAGCTCCTCCGGGTCAGGCAGTAACTGCTGATCTAAAGTTACAGGCTCTGTCCCATGGGGCGTGCATGATTCTGGAGGGGTTTGGGAGCCAGGAGAAGGTACAATTTAGAGCATAGCAGGACAGTCACTATCAGCTCAAAGATGAGAGCAGGGAGAGAGATTGATTACTACTGTCCTCAGAGGGCACAGGGTTCTTCTGTCTTGGACATGACTTTTAGAGAAAGGCATGTGGAGCATTCATATTCTGTGTCCATTTAGTGCCTGTGGACACTGAGGCAAGTCCAGATGGTGTGACTGAAGTTTCTTCTCAATCCAGGGTTTATTCCATAGAAGCTTGCCATCCTCCTGAACACCTCAGTGCGGCCGGAGCCCCTATTAAATCGGTGTTGGCATGATGGTCTTGGCTCTGTCTGGAAAATGTATACACAGGCTGTTGGGCAGCCACTCTCAATGGCTCTGCGTCCGGGGAACTGAAGTCAAAGTGAAGCATGAGTGAGGGAGAGAATGCAGGTTTGGTATTTCAGTATTTTTCTCAGAGTGCAAGATCCCGTAGCTGAGGCCAGTACGGACAGGCTGATCGAGTCTACTAGTATCTTCTGACTCATGGACGTTTTTAAAAATTCAGGTCAAATGTTCCTTCATTCCATCGACAGCTGTCCCTGTCCCATTAAGTCTCTTCTTGTGCCGGGCCCTGAGTTAGAAGCTGTGGACCCCAGAGAAGCCAATCACTGCCTGTGTGGAATCCCTCCTAGGCTGGGGAAGTGTAATCTAATCAGAGAAAGGCATAGCTTGTTGGGATATAATATTATTAAGCAAATAGAGATTAGATATTTAAATCGATTTAAGGATTTATGAATGAAATGTTACCCTGTCTGGGAGTTCCTTCAGTATGATACCGGAGAAGTGGGTGGCAGTATAAACGAAATGAGATTGGTCATGAGTTAGTAATTATTGCAGCTAGATAATGGGAACATGGAGATTCATTATACTCTCCCGCTTTCGTATGAGTTTAAAATTTTCCATCATGAAAAAGAAGACAGAGGTGAACTGAGGGGGACATAAGACTCCGGGCAGGTTACATATGGACACATATCCCTGGTGGCTTCCATCCTTCTTTCCCACCCTGGCTAACAGACCAGATACACTAGTAGGGTAAATCTCAGCTTTCTTTTTTTAATTTAATTTAATTAATTTATTTATTTTTATAAATTTATTTTTTATTGGTGTTCAATTTGCCAACATATAGAATAACACCTAGTGCTCATCTTCTTACAAGGACCTGCAAGGCTTTGCATCATCCGACCCCTTCCTTCGCTCATCTGTTCTCTTAGACCCATTTTTTTTTCTTTCTTCTACCCAGGTTGTATGGTGTGTCTTTGTGCGATTATCTGACTCAGGCCTGTTTTCCCAATTAGCATAGACATTCCGTGCAAAGTAAAAACTTCATTGCGTGTTCCACGGTCTCCTTGGTGTCTCATGTGCTGCTTGACACCTAGTGGCCACTCCACAAATCCTTATGGATTGAATGGATCCCTCTTAATCCTGTCTACAAGCACTGGGTTGACTCAGTTATAGTCCCTTGTGAATGTGCGCATAGAAGGGGAAAGTCTCCTCCTACCCCTTATGTGGGGGTATATAGAATCCTGGAGCGGGGATTTGGGGACTTGGGGAGCCTATCTGGGCAGCCTGTTAGACTCAGAGGAGGCGATGGGACCTCTCGAGATGCAGCGCAGCCCTGACACAGAGGCTTTGGCTCTGTTCAACTTTTTCCACTCATAGCTTGCTTCCAGCCTCCTTGGCTGACTGGTGGGTGCTTACTTAGCCAGGAGAAGGGAGAGAATAACTTAGGGGAGATTTGGGGAGTCACCGAACTCCAGGAACTCGTAAACTTTCATGGCCTCTCTCCCAGGAGCCAGTCGGCCTTGGGCAGGAACCTTTGCCTGACTCCACAAGGTGAGGGTACAGTGATGCCCTCAATGACATCATCAAAGGCTAAATGGTCTTTGCCTTAATTTCCATTTCTTGGGACTTTCAGGGCTGTCTCTGCAGGGGAGCAAGGGTCTCTGAGCCATAACATGGTTACCACGGGTCACGTAATAGAAGCACCTTTGGATTCACACAGCCCTGTGGCGTGGCCCTGGTCCCAACTGCTTCCCAGCTTCAGTTCTCTGAACTGCAAAGTTGGAATAACAACCCTTACCCTGTGGGATCTGTAGGGCTCAGAGTAGTTGGCGATATCGATACATTTCCTGACTACACAGGAGAGCTCAAAAGTGACACTGTCATAATTATAGCGCCAAAGATGTGGGGTGGACAGGTGCAAAGTTCTCTATTACTAGGGAAGGCAGGTATGCCCTTAGAGGTCAGTTGATATTTGAGCAAAGTCTTAAATGCAAACCACAGCAATAATAAAATGATGGCAGTTACCGTGTATGTTACGGGCTCAACGCTTCCTGGACATTTTGGCTCACCCGAACGAAGCTCCTTACGGTCCTTAAGGACACATCCTGTTGCATTTTGCAGGTAGAGAACGTGAAGTTCAGAGAGGTCAAGTGACTTTGCCAAGGCAGGGATTATTCAGTTTTATCCATCATCGCTCTCAGCTCCCAACGAGTACCCGCAAGGCTTTGCATCATCTGACCCCTTCCTTCACACTCAACATGAACTTACCAAACACACATAGTTGGTGTTCAGTAAGTCCGCGTTGAGTGACTAACGAATCTGATGGGCTCCACATTCTCTCCAGCCTGCGTTACACATCCCAGCTCGGGGAGATGAACGTGTTTGACCAAATCATTCTATTGCCTTTCCTGTCTTAAAAGGGAGGGTATCGGCGATGCCGGACAGTTTTGTAATCGGCCACGTGGAATGTTTCAGTAAGAGCAGCAAACATTTTCCAGGTCCAAATGACAAGGCAATCTGAGGGAGCATCTCCTCCCACCCCATCACCCCTTCGGGTGCCCGGCGTGTCTGAATTCTCTTTACGGGCCTGAAATTCATTTCTGGCGACACTCACATTACAGGAAGGGAGGTCAGTGGGTCACGTCAACACAGACAAGCCCGGACTTGGCACTTAGCTTTTCAGACGAGGTGTTTCCTTGAGGTTGGTATTACAAATAAAGCGCTGACCTGTGGTGTCAAGCAATTGCGCCTGGGAGCGGGAGGAAGGAGGAAGCGCGATGCTAGGAGCAGCTTTCCCTCCCTGGTGTGTGTATGAATAGTGCCAATAAGCTGTCAAATAAAATCAAGGTTCAAAACATACAGCCTTCAATCTGATTTCACTAACATGCCGACTGCTGCTCAGAGGGAACAGATCGATCCTATTTTGACAGGACTTGGTGCAGTGCTGAGCGCTGGAAGTCTCCGCTCCGGGCCGGATTAATAACAGCTCACCTTACTTTGCAACTTAAATAGAACCATATCTGAGCTCGATGTGACACTCCTGATTTCCTCTCCTGTGTGTCCTCCTTGCGTCGACTCTCCCGTCAATCCTCCTGCCTTTTTTTTCCTCTTCCGTATCATCTTCCTCTTCCTCTTCCTCCTCGCTTTAGCATCTTTAAAAATATCTCCTCCCCGTCTCCCTCCTGTACCTAAGAGTATGGAGTCCCTGCTACTTGCCGGGCACTGGGCTGCGTGCTGTTCACAGATCATCGTATTTGATCGCCACAAGGTCCTTATAAAGCAGGTGGAGGTGTGCTGTTTACAGAGGAGGAAACAGACGTTCACAGTGGTTCAGAGCTTCCCCGGGTTTGTGTAGCTAGAAAGTGGCAGAGGGTGGCGATCCCAGGCAAGACTTCTCTGATTAGGAAAGCCCCTGCTGCTCTCATGACATCAGGGGTCCCCGAATTCTGGCAGGACATGAGGGTCACCTGAGGAAGCTCTACCCCTCTCCAGGCATGGGCGCCACCACCGTATTCATTAGCCTGGGGGAGGCCAGGACTTGGAGACTGCCCAGTATTCTGCTTTCCCTTTATCCTTATGTTTCTTAGCATATAAACAGAAGCATATGTTGAAGTAGGTCGCAGCAAAGCCCTGAGGATCAGGAGGGGTTCTCGTTCCTCTTATGGGGAAGGACTCACCTTTCTAGAAGTTGGCGCTGCCAGAAAGCACAGGTGTGCCTTTGTCTTTCTGATGCAGGTGGGCAAGTGGGAGAACCAGAGCCTGAGCCTGAGGCATGCCGTGTGGCCGAGGTACAAATCCTTCTCAGACTGTGAGCCAGACGACAACCATCTGAGCATCGTCACCCTAGAGGAAGCCCCATTTGTCATCGTGGAAGACATAGACCCGCTGACCGAGACATGTGTGAGGAACACCGTGCCATGTCGGAAGTTCGTCAAGATCAAGTGAGTCTGGGGAGGCCGTCGGGTGAATGCACCCAATCCTTTACAAATAGCCGGTGTCATTGACAACGGCAGTGTCCATAATACCATAATAAAATGTCATATAAAATAGACCATTATAATACTGTATGATGATCTATGATATTAGGGGTTTTTTAAAGACTGAAATAAATAACTGGAATAGCGCCAGGTGGCTTACTTTCATTTAATTCCAGCAACAGCAATAGGAGGTAAGTGGTTTTAGGTATTTAAACTGAGTTATGGGGAGATTCAGAAAAATGCTCAAAGCCATTCAATGAGTGAACGGATGAGCTAGGACTCAGACGCTGCTCTGTCCAACTCCATATCCTTAACCACTGTGCTGACTCAAACTTCCCCTTCGGTCTCACCTTAAATTATTATTACTTTTTTTATTTTTCTGGCTGGTTCGTCCTCCAACCCTGCACATCCATCTACTACCTTCCATCTTTTTTTTTTTTAATATATATCCCAGATACAAACTCTTCAAAAACTTTGAAAACTTCTCTCCAGCTGGGGGTCATTGTACACCTTCCATATGACTTTCTGATGTGATCAGCGTAGACCTGCCCTTCTGGCGGTTTCCTAGCTCACCGACAGTAAGCCAGTATCACATCTGTGCCATTTCCTCTTTTATTAACAATCGAAGGAAGAACTGACAATTTTTGTGAGAGCTTCTGGTGAAGTTTGTCCTTAACCTGTCAGCCTTTTAGGGAAGCATAAAGCTTCATGACCAAGTCCACGACCCCGAGTCTAGTCTTTCTAGTCCAAACACAAATAAAGACACATCCTCGTGGGGATTTTGCCAAAGGAAAAGGCCTACCGTTGGAGTATTTTTGTCCATATTTTCTTTTCTTTTAAAGATTTTATTTATTTATTGTTGAGAAATACAGAGAGAGAGGCAGAGACACAGGCAGAGGGAGAAGGAGTTTCCCTGCAGGGGAACCTGATGGCAGACTCGATCCCAGGACTCAGAGATCACGACCTGAACCAAAGGCAGATGCTCAACCACTGAATCACCCAGGCACCCCTGTCCATATTTTTCTGAGCCCTTCCTTTCATCCAGATAATTCTCCCATGAACTTTAAGTTCCTTAAAGTTGAGTTTGTGGTTCCTCATTCCACAGAATTCAGGGTGTGTCTCTGTGCCTTAGTGTGTTCAGGCTACTGTGACAAGTCACCACAGATGACGTGGCTTAAAAAAAAAGAGAGAGAGACTTGTTTCTCATAATTCTGAGGGCTGGGAGTCCACCAGCAAGGTGTCTGGTTTACAGACGGCCTTCTTCTCTCAGTATCATCACATGCTGGAGCGGAGACAGAAAGGAAGCAAGCTCTCCTGTCTCGTTCTAAGGGTGCTCCTCCCATTCATGAGGGCTTCACCCTCTGACCTCTGGACCTCCCAAAGGCCCCACCTCCTAACACTATCACAATGGAGTTTAGGGTTTCAACATATGAATTCAAAGGAACCCAGACATTCAGTGCATACTGCTGGATCTCTCTATCACCTGTTTTTATGGCCTATAAAGCCCCACCTCCCCCCCGCTGGAGTATGAGCTGCCTAAATATTGGAAACATGGCTTACGTGTCTGTATGCTCAGTGACAAGCATGAAATATGACACACCAGTGTTGATAATGCTTAAACAGATGAGTGAATGGATACTTATCTTCCCACATTCTGAATTCTGATTTAAGTCATTATACGAGATGCAGATCCCCAGAGCTCAGCACTTGGGATAAAGATAATTTTTTAAAAATATGATTGCAAAATGTATTTTGAAGGCACATTTTCGTGTGCAGAAAATTCTTTTTTTTTTTTAATCAATGAGGAGCCTCTTTGGAGTTAATATTCTGAATAGGTTAGTCAATAAATAAATATACATTAAACACAGTGCTGGGCACAGACCATACCTCAGTGAACAGAGAAGACCAGGGTCTTGCAGTATGGAGTGTACACAGTTAAGAAGAAAACAAGTCAACCAATAAAAGACCAGGACATCATATCTATGTTATGATAAACCTTGTGAAAGATACAACTAGTGTGATGAGAGAGTAACTTGAAGTATGTGGAGCTTCGTTAGCTCACACCAGTGAGGCGTAAGATGAGGTAGAAAAGGATGATGAACATGTGAAGAACAGAGGGAAGAGCCTTCCGGGTAGAGGGAGCAGCAGGTGCAAAGGCCCTGGGGGAGGAAAGAGATCAGCAGGTGTGGGAAACAAAAGGAAGCCCAGGGCAGTACCAGAGAGTGATGAGCTGGGCAGGAGACAGAAGGGGTAAATGTGGGAAAGTTGTCCAAGGAGATATTGATTGGGGTGGGCATTCTTCGAGCACAACTTGGTCAGATGAAGAAAGCAGAGTGATTGGCACAAAGCAAAGACTCTTCCCTCTGTAGGGGGACCTCCTTTATGACAGCAGTGCCTTCTTTGTTTCAATAAGGACAATCGAGTAGAGCCTCTTGGGCTTCACAGCCAGTAATAGGAGCTTTAAATCTTTAACATCAGAAGCCTTGATGCTGACAACATAGGGCAGTGAGCCCTGAGCCACATTTGTATGGAGAAAATGAACCCCCCAATAAATTACTCTCTTTAAAAGAATTGACTTTTTCTTTACTGGAGAGTATAAACAGATTAACAGGTTCAAATTCACATTTTTGGTTGCTGTGGGAGGTAGCAGCTTGCAGCTTCCCTTCCCCACTTGGCGACATGACAAGTTGACTGCACATCTAGGTGACATTAAAGTCTTTGAAAGCCATAGGCAATCACTGGGACCCATTCATCCCAACATTAACACAGATCAGATCAATTGCATTTCCTACAGGTAATATCTTTGAGGCAGGCTGATTGGCTCTAAGAAGGATTCTGTTAGGTAACATGATTATATTTTTCTTGGTGATAGTCTCCCAGGGAAAACTCTTTGTCTCTCACTTCTGGTGAATGGTGGGGTCTTTAGGACACACATCAGTCTTCTAAAAACATAGGTAAGAGGAAATGAGCTGAGAAATCAAGCATCTCTCGTCATCTGTTAGTTGGGTGTTAAGGCATGAAGAGAAAATTGAGGAAAAATGATCTGGCTTGATATGTCGGGGGAAATGGCCACACTGTCGATTAATCCCCCAAACTGTCAGATTGTCGGTGAGAAGAGAGGAAATGTATTTCTAAGCATTTATGCGAGACGTGCTTTAGATGCTTTATTTTATTTAATCTCCCCGACTATCCTGCAAAGTAAGCATCAGCCTTCTCAGTTTGCAAGTGAGCAAACTGAGGCTCATTAGTGAAGACACTCATGTGTGTCTTCTTGGTTGTTAGGAGCAGACCTGGGACCTGGTGGCAGTGCTGTCGACCTGCATGGCCGCGATCCTATCTACTGGGCATGCTGGGAAACTGGAGCTGGAGAACTAGATTCCTTATTGGAGTCATTTCCCCACATTGACTTTTATGGGCCACCTTTACTTTCGGGTGATTGGTGGGAGCAGGGAAAGAATGCATCGAGTGCCATTTCTCAGATGTTTGTGTAGTCAAGTGACACCCCCCTTCACATGTACACAAGGGCTGTGATTGGAACCAATGAAAGTTGCCAATTACAAGCTGGTCTGTGTTTTCATAATCTCTCTGAGAAATTCATCTGTCGCATTTGCTACATGTCTTCTCATCCCTTGTCCTTAGGGCTTAATTGCATGTCTTATACATAGTAGGTACTCAGTGGTGGCTTGTTGGTTAAAAATGTATTAATGATGGCTGTATCTAGAAATAAACCTGGCATTAGGAGACATGGGGAGATAATCAACTCATTAACTGGCTGAGGTTCTCCATGAGGCCAAAGAATATCACCGTGTGCCTGTGACCCTGGATCTTAAGCCAAGGGTGTTCATAACTCCTATCCAGACTCTCCTAGGAATCCTGACCAGGGGAAGGAAGACCCTGTGATAGAGGAAGGGAGGGAGCAGAGGGAAGAGGTAGAGAAGGAGCATCAATGCGTGGCCCATGGTGGCCAGGAAAAAAGAGAGAGTTGGCTCTTGCCACAGATGTTTTTTAATGTTTTTTAATGAGCCACAGATAGGTACCAAGGAGGTCATATTTGGATATGTCATTGGTTTAATGTAATTAGGACACATTTCTATCATGTTTATGGCATTTTGCAACCTGTTTCCATTCCTCAAAGTCACATTGTCAAATCTACCCCTGTTCATGGGCATAGATAGACTTCAATGGTACTTGATGTGTGTGTATATCTAATTATATATGTAGTATATACTCACTGCAGTTAATTTGTGGGGGAAAAACCTAAAAATAGGAAAAAGAGAAAAAGTCATTTCTCACCATTCAAAAATAGCTGTGCTTCATATTTCATTGTTTTTCCATCCAGATATTTCATAAGCTCATCTGTTTTTATATAGCTAGGACTATTCTGTATGTAACACTGTGTAACCTACTTTTTTTCCCCTGTGATATGGAAATGGAAGTATTTTCCTGTTGTGATGTTGGATTTCCATAAACATCAATGTAGTGCTTAGGTAACCATCTGATGTGTGGGTGTGCCAGCCATGGAATATCCAGAGCACATATCTCATGACATGCATGACTCGGGGAGTTGAGCTAAACCAAATGCCCCAGCACAAGGTGGACCAGATGTATTGCCCAGAGAAGTCTTGATCTTCCTCCATGAGTCATCTAAGTAGTAGCTGTTAATTGGGAAGACCCTGTTTCTTTCCTTTTTAAAGGCATTTCTGATTTTTATACATCCTTTGAATAGGACTTGGCCAGGTAAATAAAGTGAGGTGGCTGGCACAAAGCAAAGTATGCCACCTTGGTAGGTGATTATGGCTTTTAAGACTGCAGTACCTTCTGTATTTTAATAGGGATTTTTCCTGAAAAAAGGGCATTGCTATTTCATAGTGTCACCTTGTATACTTCCTGCCATATAGGGAGGGTGGGAAAGTGTTAGGAATGAGCCCTCACTTGACAGATGACTCCATCAAGACACATTAAGTCCATGGAGTCAGGCACCAGGTGGATCCTGGGTCTTCTGATTCTCAGCCACATTTTCCTCAGGAAGGAAAGTGCCTTCCCTAAGTAAGGCACCTTTATTTCTTCTCTTTGGTTGCAAACCTCTATTTGCGGTGATAGGATAAAGCAAAACCCTCCTTCAGTGGAGAATTTCATGTCTTCTGTCCCTTTTCCATTTTCCCGTAAGCTTTTTAATTCTGCTGAGATCATGTGCCTGAACTCTGGCCTAAAGATGCTGTAGGTGTCATAAACTTAAGAATAAGAGGTGGCAACTCTCAATGGTACAATGGCGGAAACATTATTAACTAAGAGAAATACCTTGGAGGTTATTTCAAAAATGGTTAGGAAGCATGGTACACGGTAAAAATAATAATAACTTGGTAAAAGTTATCCGTTGTCATGGCTGCTGTCACAATTAAGAACACTTTCTACTTTGCCGACATAAACTACTGCATGTCCTTGAAAAAGCCACCTCCTCATGTTGAGCCTCAGCTTCCCGCACAGAAAACAGTGGAAGTGTGTTTGGTAATGACTGTGAACAACTCTTGCGGTGCTAATACTCTACGATCTCGGGGGTTTTTTCTACAGCAATTCAACCAATGAGGGAATGAACATTAAAAAATGCTGCAAAGGTTTCTGCATCGATATCCTGAAGAAGCTTTCCCGCACCGTGAAGTTCACCTACGACCTTTATCTGGTGACTAACGGGAAGCATGGCAAGAAAGTCAACAACGTGTGGAACGGGATGATCGGCGAAGTAAGTGGCCTTCTTCCTGCGGGCTCCCATCCGGCCTCTGCACCTGCGATGCTTGGGAGTGGTGGGAAGGAAAAATTAAATCCCTGTCCTCCTTTGCCTCGCATACAGGTGGTCTACCACCGGGCGGTCATGGCCGTTGGCTCCCTCACCATCAATGAGGAGCGCTCTGAAGTGGTGGATTTCTCTGTGCCCTTCGTGGAGACAGGGATCAGTGTCATGGTTTCAAGAAGCAATGGCACTGTCTCACCTTCTGCTTTTCTAGGTATGTGAATGTCATGGTCACTACTGTTTTCCTAATAGGGAACTGTAGCAATTGTAGCTATTTGTCTTTGCTCAAAGGATGGAACCAGGTAGGACCTTGGTCAGTTCCATGTAGCGCCGTCAGGACACTCCAGAGTGAGTCCTATTTGAATCATTTCATTTCAATCCTCCCCCCACCCCTGCCCCAGCCGTTAACATCTTTCATTTCTCTCTGACTCGGAATTATCTGTTGAAAACACAATCACATATTCAGATACTGGTCTTGATTGTGTAGAATGTAGATCAGTGGATATATGTCTCAGAGCCTTGAAAACGTTAAAAAATAAATAAACCTGTTTGTCCACAGTTCATTTAAATCAGCCCATAAGCCTTTATCCGGTATCCTCGTTCCCATCCTCCATCCCTCGCTGGCATGACAGCCGATTATTTACTGGATGTGAGGGTGAAATGATGATGACCACGCAGTGATTTATACCAACACTCCGATAAACAAAATACAAGTAGTCTGAAGAGCATACACTGATTGAAAATTAATGGAATCATATTTTAAATGTGACTATCCTTCAAGCTGTCTGGTTTGTAAGGGATGAAATTCCTTACTCTTCAACTATTTCATAAATTTATGTTTTGATATAAAAGATTTCTTTTTTAATTATTTTTATTGGATTTCAATTTGCCAACATATAGCATATCACCCAGTGCTCATCCCGTCTAGTGTCCCCCTCAGTGCCCATCACCCAGTCACCCCAACCCTCCACCCACCTCCCCTTCCACTACCCCTTGTTCGTTTCCCAGAGTTAGGAGTCTCTCATGTTGTGTCTCCCACTCTGATATTTCCCACTCATTTTCTTTCCTTTCCCCTTTATTCCCTGTCACTATTTTTTATACTCCCCAAATGAATGAGACCACATAATGTTTGTCCTTCTCCGATTGACTTATTTCACTCAGCATAATACCCTCCAGTTCCATCCACGTTGAAGCAAATGGTGGGTATTTGTCCTTTCTAATGGCTGAGGAATATTCCATTGTGTACATAAACCACATCTCCTTTATCCATTCGTCTTTCAATGGACACCGAGGCTCCTTCCACAGTTTGGCTATTGTGGACATTGCTGCTAGAAACATTGGGGTGTGGGTGCCCTGCTGTTTCACTGCATCTGTATCTTTGGGGTAAATCTCCAGCAGTGCAATTGCTGGGTCATAGAGCAGGATTTCTTTCTTTCTTTCTTTCTTTCTTTCTTTCTTTCTTTCTTTCTTTCTTTCTTTCTTTTTCTTTCTTTCTTTCAAGGTAGAGCTCGACTTTCATCTTTTTCTTTTTTTTTAATTTTTAAAAAAATTTTTATTTATTTATTCATGAGAGTCATAGGGAGAAAGAGACACAGGCAGAGGGAGAAGCAGGCTCCCTGAGGGGAGCCCAATGTGGGACTTAATTCTGGGACTCTGGGATCACATCCTGAGCCAAAGGCAGACGCTAAACCGTGGAGCCACCCAGGTGTCCCTCTGTCCCTCATCTTGTTTTCTTTAGCGCTGTGTGTATATATGCCTGATGCGGCCTGGTCAGAGAGGCAGAAACTGCATGGGACAAAGGCAAGCATTACTTATTTTTTCTTTAAAGAAAAGTATTGTGTGGGATGTTTGGTTATCATTAACAGTTTTTGACAGTGACTACCTTGAAGATTGTAGGATTCAAATTTCATTCTCCTTAGCACCCCCGTCATCCGTGGGTTTGTCCCAGATTTGGGAAGGCTAAGGCAAACACTGACCCCAAAAGAAAATTGCATGATACAGGGGAGCCACATCAAAGTCAGTAAATTTCTTGCATTTTTCCAGACCCACACAGAAGAACCTTTGTCTATTAGAGAGCTAGCACTTTATGGACACACGCTTCAAGCCCACAGTCTTGTTCTCCTACCATCTTCTTTGGTATGTCACGATGGCTTCCAGGGAAGCTGTCTGTGCTTCATTCATTCTCTTCAGTGAAACGTTGACTAACAGGATTTTGGATACTGCCTCACTCACGGAGACGTACGGATTTGCTATTTCCATTTTTGATAATCCATTTAAGCCGTTGAAATCCTTACCGCTCTCCATGGATTTGATTTTGCACTCCCCGCTTCCATTCTCGTCACCTTTATTGGAATAATGTGGACCTTGACAGATACACACCTCATTATGTTCCCTTTGTGTCTTGTTCTGATATGGATAAGGGACCCCTCTCTCAGTAAAAGAGCCTCACGGCACCATGAAAAATGCAGCTGATAGAGACAACATGTGCAGATTCTTAACAATGATTGGGTGGACCCTCGTGCATGAGCCACTCTCCTTATCGTGGTGTCCCACTCCCTAGCAGGCCCTTTAACAGGGCTCTTTGGCCCTGGAGGTTAAAAAAAGTTTAGAGGAAGTGAGTTCATGGAAAGAATGGAAAGAGTTCAGTTTCACTCCTTCCTTCCTTCCTTTCCTCATATCTTTTTTTTTTTTTTTTTTTTTTTTTTTTTTGAGAGAGAGAGAGCAAGTAGCAGGAGGGACAAGGGAGAAGGAGAATCCCAAGCAGGCTCTATGCCCAGCATGGAGCCCATTTTGGGACTCCATCTTGACTCTGAGATCATGACCTGAGCCAAAATCAAGAGTCAGACGCTCAACCGACTGAACCATTCAGGCGCCCCCAGAGATCTGTTTCTTTTCACAAGTTGTTGACATATCTCCATAGTGAACTAGAGTGAACGTTTTTTCCAATTCAATCAGAGTGAAAAAAAATATACCATCAACTGCCTTGGCTCATTAAAAAAAAAACGGGGGGGGTCGCTAATATAAAATCTGGCCTCAGCCCAGTTTCCCCTAGATTTTTGTCTTACCTGCATTAGTACAGCATTTCCATAACAAATCAGGTATTTTTACTAAGTTAAGCCAAGCCTCCTTTCTTCCTTATTCTTCCTACTGTATCTTTAAAAAGAAAATAAAATACATCGTAGCCAGAGGAAACTATTTTCAAAGCTGTTTTGACACAGTAGGCTTAATATTTTTTCTAGTCACTAAATTACATCCCTATTCGATTGTGCACCCCCTTATTTATGGTCATTATCTGCAGGTTTTGAAAGTCATAATGAACCATGCTAAGCTACATTTTTCCATTCACTGGCTCAGTCATCTGGAAGAACCCAAACATTCAAAATCTGATTGCATTGCTCGTCATTATTTCCTATCCTCTCTCCGCAAACTCCATTAACTCACATTGGAAACACTTGCAGGTAATGCCTCTGAGCGTTTGTGTAAAAATGTAACCAGCAGCTCTTCAAGGACAGAGGCAGCATCTCTTGCAATATTTCCATTCAGTTACTTCCGAAAGGCTTTCCAAGCAGGTTGGATTGTTTGATCCAAAGAAATGCCAACCCGGAGTATCCTAGATTGAAGTCCCTTTGTGGATGAATGTTGTATTTGCTTTTAAACCAGTAGAGGGGGGAATCCCTGGATGGCTCAGCAGTTTAGCACCTGCCTTCGGCCCAGGGCGTGATCCTGGCATCCCGGGATGGAGTCCCACATGGGGCTCCCTGCAAGGAGCCTGCTTCTCCCTCTGCCTGTGTCTCTGCCTCTCTCTGTGTGTCTCTCATGAATAAATAAATAAAATATTTTAAAAAATAAACCAGTAGAGGATGTAATCCATATCTACCCAAGATATTTCTGGGGTACTCCTTAGACACTATAGATGGTGCTGCACCATTATTCCAGCGCTTTTCTCCATGGTAGTGGTGGTGGTGATGGTAGTAGAGAGAATAGCAATCCTTCAGGGCACTCCTGGGTACCTACCTTACTGAAACCAGGACAGTGCAGCAGAATCCTTTTATCCCCATGCCATGCTCACAACTCAAGGGACAGAAGTCACTGCTAAATGGGAAAATGTCTGGGCAATCAGTTGCTTTATCAGGCTCCCACCCAATTTTTGGAACAGTCAGTGTCCCCATGAGGATGCATCAACTGCCAAATGAAGTCCACTGCAGGTTTACAGATTCTGACGTGTGAATGAAGAATTCAGGAGGGATGCCCCCTAATAGTTTTCATAATGTTACCACAGCCTGCAGAGAAAAGAAGTTACCGGATTACTTAATGTTAATAATGTTTTAAACCAAGATGCCTTTTTCAGGATCCTACACAGCACACCACCACCATCGGGTCTGGCTTTAACCATAGAATCAGATAACTATTCCGTTTAATTTATCATGTGTACAGTGTGCAACACACACCACCACACGCTTTCCGTGTGCATGCTCATTTGCCCCTCATGGTGATGTGGTAAGACACACCAGGCCTTTAACATACCCTACTTGGAGAATTACCTTACCATTTATTCCTATCTTGAATATTCAGTATTTTTAATCCCCTAATTATTCCTTTAGTTCTCCTTTTTGGATACAACTCATTACCAAATTGCAGTGATTTCAGGGATGTAATATTGTTATTACCCAAGGTAATTTTAACTAAAATATAGTTGCAATCTCATTGATTTCTTCAAATTCATCTTGTGTTATTCAAACTGAGTAGGCTGTGTTGTTACGGGTTCCTTTTTAACATATTCGCACTTTTGAAACTGCATTGCAAAGCGTTCCTTCCAGTTTCTAAATTATCCCGTGTAGTTAAAGCTTCGGACATATTAGTTTCTTGTGATGTAGTAAGCTCATTAAATTGGAATTTATGATGACCTCTAGCTGTGTTAGGTAGTCACAGACTTTAATCATAAGGTGGCTTGCTACCAGTCTAGTTCTTTATGATTATTACCACCTCCATCAGAAAAACAATTTAAAAATAATAAAATGTCTACTATTCAAAAGGTGTTATTGGGCTTCTTATATTTTACCTTCAGAAAATGTTTGCTTATGATGAAAAGGATTATAAGTTTATTGGTATCCAAGGGCAGTTTCTTCCCAATGATGCATTCAGGTGGAGATATATTCATTTTTCAAAATTTTAGCCTCTGTCAATTTTCTAGCAAATCTGTGTCACATACGGATACAGTGACTCCATTCAGCTCATTTTTCATATCCTCAATTGGACTGAATATAAATGTTAATTTATTTTACATAAAATCTCTTAACTTTCTAGAGTGTTCTAAGATTTAGAACCCTGTGATTTGGCCTGCCCTTCTGAGACATCTGAATGAACATGAGCTGACGTAAACTCCTTGGGGGAGAAATAACCATTTATCCATCTATAATTCCAGTTGCCTATACTCTTGAAACAATGCTTTCTCATTGAATTACCATAACCATAATCTCCTCAAATGACTTTTCAAATACATTGAAGGCCATGACCAACATCAACAAGATTTTAAACTTGTAGAGATCTCATTGGTCCAGAGCTGATGGCAGGATGGGGAGTGTGGTGGTTATGGTGGCAGATGATGACCTTCTGATATTGCTGTCAACCCCTTGATTTTATGAGCCTTTTCTAACAGGCTGTAATGCTCTCTTTCCTTCTGGAATTTCCTGCACCTCATCCCTCTGGCATGTAAGGATAAAAATGAAAATAAGAATTAAACCCTTGCTGATCTGCAGAAGCCTTAGGACTGACCATTAGGATCTAATCTTGCTTTCCCCGGAGTGTTGGTCCCCTGGATGATGCTATGATCACATAGGACCCGATGGCTTCTTTATTTGCATTCTTTCTCCCATTTTGTTTTTACTATCCTTGGCCCGATTTGGAAAATGTCATACAGTCTTCTCTATTTTTATCCTACTATATATACAGCCTTATAAAATACCTCAGATATTTTGTGGAGTGAAGGATGGTGCAGATGTATGAATCCACAATAACTAGCTTCTTTTGAATGATGGGAGGCACGTGAGGGAGGGTTTCTCAGGGAGCCTGCAAGTGGACCTCTGGGCTTCCTGCCAGCCCTGCTTGTGAGGATGCGCCAACTGACCATGTCCCACGCCTTTGGCCTGTTCGCCCGCAGAACCGTTCAGCGCCTCCGTCTGGGTGATGATGTTTGTGATGCTGCTCATTGTGTCCGCCATCGCTGTTTTTGTCTTCGAGTACTTCAGTCCTGTTGGATACAACAGAAACTTAGCCAAAGGGAAAGGTGAGACCCCCCTCTCATAAATATGACCCAAAGTTGATGCTGTTTATGTCCCACAAAGGTTTCTGATTCAGAACACATTGCCCTGAATTGTCTTGCTATCCCATGATATGAACGGAGCTGGGTCACCAGTATGACTCATAATTCCATACAATTGTGGATTGCTTGCTCCAACTGAAAAGGGGATCAAACGAAATGAAACATTTTCATCCTGTTATCATGTGGAACCTGTACTTGTTAGGTGGAAACTACTGACAATTTGTCGAGAGAGCAGATTTGAAGAAGTTTTTCTGGCAATTAACTTTTAAAATCTGTGTCAAAAGAAATGTTAAGATTGCAGTGAATCTCACCTTCAGTCTACGCAGAGAAAATGGCTTTTATAGAACCTAGCTTAAGAACATTCTCCAGACTACTGAATCACGCTTGCATTCATTTGATGATAAAAATAATTATAAAGTGGTACTTTCCCCCAAAGAATTACATTTTCCTCTTGGCAGTGCCTGACCTTAGTGCATTATACTTGATAAAACTGCCATCAGGAGATAGTAAATTGCATTGGGTGACAGTCATTGGCTATAGCTTATTAAGAGGCTCCTATGCAAAACTAATATTCATGTTATAGACATAAACACATTACATCACTCTGAGTGAATGTTCCTCCGTGCACAACAAGTCCTAGGTGGATGGCTCCAAAGGCTGCTGCCAGGACCAAATCTCTTTCCCAAAACATGACTTAAGTTGGTGGAAGACAGCAGGCCTTTCATAACAGTCATGCAAAATCAAGGCACTTGAATTTGCCACGTACTGTTTTCACTTGGAAGATTCAGAATTGGAAACAGCCAGCAGGTCATGGGAATCTGTTAGGAACTTAGTTTTAAAGAAAGCCTCCCACTTCTTCACCATTGAAAAGTGGTGGTTACTACGTAAACCATCTCCCATCAACCAAACACAGTGAAAATGCCGTAAATAATCATTTTGTGCTTAAATGGGAGAATTTTCAGCCTCCACTAAGAGGGTCATGTAACCAACCTATAAGGAGCTCCCAAGAGTGGGACCTGAGATGGTATTCTGTGAGTGACCATACCTCAGTGTTCACATTTATGGAGTTTTTGCTGTTTGTGAATTCATGCATTTCTTTAATGAGTATTTACTGAGTGAGTACAATGGGCCAGGCACTGTGCTAGTGCAGGGGGACAACATGGTAGGTTGGATAGAGACTTGCTGACCCCCAGAGAGCTGAAGATTTAGTTGTGAAGACCACATGTGAACACATATATCGATAATCACAGATGGTAATAAATCTCAAGGAAAAGGGGAATAGAAACCAAAGTGAAGTGATGAGGGAGGGGGCCATTACTTTAGATGAGATGACCAATCAGGGAAGAACTTTTGGAAGACATGACATTTGAGCTGAGATCTAAAGGTGAGACGTCAAGTGAAAAACAGAAGGAAAAGCATTTCACACAGAGGGAACAGCAAATGCAAAGTCCTTGTCAGGGAATCAATCTTGATGGAACAGAAAAGATGTCAATAAGTAAGGTGGGCAGTGATACAAGATGAAGGGAAGAGGTGGGACGAAACATATACAGTGTGGGAAGGTCACGTCAGCAGGGCTGCTCTGTCAGGACAACAGGATGGGCAAGTAGCAGTGGACAGAGCGAGTTAGTTAGGTGTTAGTTTTCTATTAGGAGGGTGTCAGTTTTCTGAGAGAAAGGATTACGGTGGTTTGGAATTGGCTGGAGATAAGTAGATAAATCAGGGATATATCTTGGGAGACGAAAAGAAAAATGATCCAGAGGCTATCACATGCAGTCATTCCTCCTTTGGCTGAAGCGCACACTTCAAAGACTATCATAAAGCAAGGAATCTAGCACACCAACTCCCCGGCCCAACCATTACCTCAAGGCTTTTTGTTTCCTGCTCATCTGCTTGTGGAAGCTCTCCAGAAATGATAGTGACTTGTCTGTTGGTGTAATATGGCTTTCTTTTACATTTCACTGCACTTTATGGGGAAGATTTTTATGTACGGCTCAATGATAGGATCCATGAATCGGGAATTCCCAAAAGTCTTGGACAGAACCCCTGCAAGTGCCTATTTCTGATTCCCAAACAGCTGTCACTTCTGATCAACATGTGTCCCTAATAAAACTAAATAGTTCATGCAGTTAACTGGATTGACTCTAATTATTTTTTTTTTCCTAAGAGTTCTTGGCATCTTGGGAATAAGCCCAGAAGATTATAAAACTAGGCAAGGAGAGACAGAAGAGTTTGAGATTGAGCATAACAGAATTAATTGCCTTCCCTTTAATGTGCTGTACGGGGATATTATAAATATTGCTGTAGCCAGAGTTTGGCCTCCAACATGTAGAAAGCTTGCTTTTCCCAGGCTCCCTGCTCAGAACTTCATACCTTCCATCAGTGATTCACTTCTACTGTTTTATTTATTGTCTGCTCTGCTTGCATTGCCAGCTGAAGTCTGAGTAGATCATTTATTCATATCTTCATTTACTTAGATGACATAAAAATTAACCTTCTGTTAAAGGAAGACCTCTTTCCCATGAAATGAGGGCATAAATTGATTTTTTTTCCCCTTGTGCAAAACAGACGCAAAAGCCCTAACGTGTGCGTTTTGCAGAGCGCATACTCCCCACCCCAATAAACGGTGCCATGTTGTCCTGCCTCTTAAGAGGCTACAAGGAACATTTAAGAATCTTAAAAGGGACCCATGGCTGTTGCAAGGATACACAGAAGGAGAAAAAGTGCTGTGATAGCAGAGCTCATTTTCCATGACCTGCAATTAAATGTCTTCCATCTGCAATGTGATGGAAGAATTAAGCTCTGTTGTCCTGTCTTTTGATGTCTCCATTTGTGGAGGGTTTTAGTTTGGCTTCATTAATATATTGTGCACTCTTTATATCTGAGTTTGAACGAGAGCAATTGCTAGGGACTGTCGGATTAGAGGCCCACACATCAGTCCCACTATACAGTCTTTACCCGGCAGCGGCAGCGCAGCGGATGAGAACTGAAGCAGCCCCCCCCCCCCACACACACACACACATATTTTCATAAAGGCTTGTTACGTTTATTAAGGAGATTGGTTCCCCCAAATGGAATTGAATCCAAATTCAAAACCGGCCCTAATGCGACTTCTCATCCAGACCCACATTTTGCATGGCCATTTGTTCTTCCTTTCTTGCTTATTTTTTATGTCCCCTTCTTTTCAGAAACGTGGCAAAAATCCAGCCAGATAGAAATGTGGGAAGAATGCTTGTTTTTTAAAGACCAAGGGAGCAGTGGTGGCTCTGGTTCTGGGCAATGATGGGGGTATAAGCACGAGAGACAGTTCTGTGTTCTGGCAGCCGGCGGAGCTGCGGGAGGCTGCCAGGTAGCCCTTAGGAGAAAATGCTGAAAATGCCCTTTCTGTTATTTGCAGCACCCCACGGGCCTTCTTTTACGATTGGAAAAGCTATATGGCTTCTCTGGGGCCTGGTGTTCAATAACTCCGTGCCTGTCCAGAACCCCAAAGGGACCACCAGCAAGATCATGGTGTCCGTGTGGGCCTTCTTTGCCGTCATATTCCTGGCCAGCTACACAGCCAACCTAGCTGCTTTCATGATCCAGGAGGAATTTGTGGACCAAGTGACCGGCCTCAGTGACAAAAAGGTAAGGTCACCTTGCTTTCCTCGATGCCAAGGAGTAGATCTTAAATGCTCTCTCCTCAGCAGGGCACCACGCAGGTTCCTATCATCCAAACCCACCGACTCTAAAAACACAAAGCCAGAGGGGTTTTGGTTTTTCTCCTAACTTGAGTTGATACATTTCTAAGAATTTTAGAAACAGAACCTTAAGCTTGGCCCTCCAAGTTCTAAAAGATTCCAGATCCAATGTGGAAGCATAGTTTCCCCAAGTGGTCATTTCTCTTATTTATAGGATCATGAATGTGATGCTTACCAAGGCCCTGTGACTCATGTTAGAGCCCTGGCTGGAGCTCTCCCTACAAGAGAGCGTGTGATGTTGCAGAAGATCCATGAGCCTAGACAAGGAGAAAGGGCGAAGTGGGGTACTCTAGGCTGTAGCTACGTCCCCGTTCTCTGGCCTTGGTTGAGTCTCTAATAGACTCCATGCCTTGGATTTCTCACCTATGACATGAAAAAAGTTGTCTCTAAGGCCTACCCAGAGACAAAACTTGCAACTCCTCTTTACCCAGGTAGTAGCCAGGCAGCCCCACTACCTGCATTCCCGACTCACCTGAAATTTCCTCAGGGGACACAGAAGGAGCAGAGAGGCTTTTCATTTGCCACCAGCTCCATTGATTCACACACATCTCCAGCCCTCCCCCATTGGGCTGCGCATCCCCTATCAATAAGATGGCAGGAATCACACCTGCTGTCTCCCTTCTCCGCTGGAGTGTCGCGAGGGGTGCAGGATGTGAGTGGCTATTCAGAAAGCTACACGGAGGAAGAAAGGATGTAAACTGGGTGCATCCTCCCATTGAAATTTTAGGTTCAGGAAACAAATCCTGACTTGCTAAGCTCAGCAGTGTGGGGATTGCCGCACGGCAAAGATTGTCCGTCTCGTGCGTTTGGCTAATCGTCTCTCTTTATAAAATCTCACCAGCATGTCTTGCTGACATAAGTCTACGTATATTCTTTTGGCATTCATCAACAAACTGCTGAATAGAAAATCAACCATGAAAAGCCCTAACAGCTTATCTGTGACATATGCTGGGCTTGAAAGGGGTACAGAGAAGGCCTGTCATCAGAGAGATGATGAGGGGCGGGGGCTAGTGGTTGGCCTCTCTCTGTCGACTTCCCATTGCAGCCTAAGTAAATGCCACTCTGCTTCCCATGGTCACAGAGCCCTGAATTATCAGTTCTCTCCCTCTTGCTCACAAGCTGCGTCCCCCACCACCATCATGTCCCTTCAGTAGCCCAAGCATCTTTCCACCACAGTGATCTTGCACTTGTTACATCATCTGCCTGGAATATTTTTTCCCCCATTATTCATGGCTGGCTTCTCCATGACTTTCAAGTCTTAGGGAAAAATATGACCTCTTGGGAGAGGTCCTCCTATCCACCGTGGCAAACTTCACAGCCTGAGCTCCTACTCCCGTGAAACTCCAATTCTAGTTGGAAGAAACAGACAATATGCAAGTAAACATAAATGGGGTAGAACATTCCAGGCAGGAGCAAGTGTTATAAAGGAGATAAGACTGATGAGGTTAAAGGTGGCCAGGGGAAGGGGCTGACAGGGGGCATGCTCAGGATAGAGTTATCTGGCACTTAGTAGGTGCTCAGGACACGCTTGTGTGCTGAGTGAGAAATGCGTGCCATGTAGGACACGGTAGGCACCCTATCTGGCTCTCCTGGCCTCCCCACTCCAGTTCTCTGTGCACATCCACTTTTGCTGACAGAGGCTTCTACCAGGGATCTTCCCAGGGTGCTTACCTTGGGGCCCTAGAACAGTGTACACCTGGATATTTGAGTACCCCCAACCCCTTACCTGTAACCACTCCCAGTGTGAGAGCACAAGACCCCAGCCTCACTGTTGCTTCCAGGTGGGGCAAACTCAGATTGGGGTTAACCCCCTGAGGCTCCCCGCAGGATCAGGTGGAGACTGAGACTTGGCCCCAAATCACGGCTTCGGCTGGCTTCCTCTCCTACCTCCACCCCCTTCCTGATTTCTCTGGGAGCCCTAACTTACTAAGTCATGTTCGCCCAACCCTTGGCTTAGGTTGGCTTCTAAAGCATGTGGCCACTGTGAGACAGCAGATCAAGTCAGGAAGGCTGTGTCCCTGTCCCCTCTGCCAGGTACTTACTGGCTGTGTGGTGCTCTTACGGTCACAGAACCTGGCCGTGCCTCCTCGTTCCTCCCTGTCCTTCTGGGAGAAGAGGTGGGAGCAGGCGTGAGAGGAGACAGCAATCGTGAATGTGCCTTGTAGCCTATGAAATCCCCCACAGCCACAAAGTGGGGGTCCATGATCCCCATCACCCTGCGGGAGCAAAAGTATAGTTCCTCAAAGAAGCAGCAGGAGCTCCAGCAGAAGCAGTGGGGACCATGTCCTCAGTGGAGGGCTTTTCAAGAAAGTAGTTGGCAACCTGTTTTGCTTCTTGTTGCTATTTTCCAAGGCAAGGGGGAAAAAAGAAATCCCTTGCTCCGTAGTTTTGAGTCTAAGGAACATGACCGCTTGTGGGAAAACTAATTAGAACCACTAATAGTTTGACCTTCTCTGAGTTGGAGACACCTAGGAACAGATACCACATCCTCACGGGACGCAGCTCAGCTTCCAAGCTCGGAGCATTAGTGGCAAGCAGATAGCTCTTTTAATTAAATGTTTGATACAATTAGGTAAACAGCAAAATTCTTGGAGTAAATAAGCTAAGTGCTCCCAGAAGATTAATAGCGATACACCAAGAAAGTCTGCAAAATGAAAAAAAAAATCTATATTGAATGAATTCATTTTAATACTGTACACAGTGGGCTTTTTTTTTTTGTTTTTGTTTTTGTTTTTCCCTTTCTTCATTTTTTTTTCTTTTTAATCATGATTACCTGTATAACAAATCAGGTTTATGATGCTTTTAAAGCATTTTGCAGTCTTAGTGCTTGCTGGGAAAAGCACCTTTGAAGCCCACGGTGAGCTCAGATGAGCCTGGGCTTCAATTATAAATAGATTCATGGGTAGATCTTCCCCTAGGAGTTACTAAAGGAAGGTTGAAATGTTGGTGTGGAAGCTTTCCAACGTGTCGGCGATCACTAGGGTAGACGAGCTCCAGCTCTGGGAGGCAGATTAATGTAGTGGGAAGAGCAATGTTGTATTCAGGGTCAGATGAACCTGCGTTCAGATCTTGACCTTGCCATAAAATGGTCATGTGGCCTTCAGTATGTCAGTATCCCCAAGGCTTCATTTCTTAATAAGAGTGGGGGCGGGTATTAATACCTTTTTGGCAAGGTTGATATGAGGCTTAAAATAATCCTCACACAGTGCCTGGCACAGGGTAGATAATCCTGTTATAAGTGCTTCTTCCTCCACCTCCTCTTGCTCCCCTCCTCCACTGCCCCTTCCCCACCTCTTCATCACCCCCCTCCTCCGCATTATCAGCCTCACTGTATGATGAGCTGTTCCTCACTTCTGGGGTCTAAAGTGTCACTGCACTCGTTGGCCTTGGTGACAATGGGATAATTGGGGAACTTCCATTGGTAGAGGAGCCCACGAGTGTGTCCCCACGGAGCTGTGCCATCTCTGAGCGCTGTGCTTCTACTGCCGAGGGGTCACTGGCTAAATAGAGGCCTCTGAGCCTCTCCTCCTTCCTCAGGGCCACGGTTGTTTGATGCTGACCTCCAGAAGCTTGCAGCAGTTCAACAGTGGGAGAAGGCTGTACTTGAAATACAGGGCTTTAGGGGCCAATGCCCCTTATTTATAGCCACAGAGAACAGATTTTTTTTATAAATTTATTTTTTATTGGTGTTCAATTTGCCAACATATAGAATAATACCCAGTGCTCATCCCGTCAAGTGCCCACCTCAGTGCCCAGCACCCAGGAGGACAGATATTTTTAATGAATGTATACTTAGGATGTGTAAGAGGAAGGCAGAAATGTCCTGGTCAATTGCCATGTTTTCCCTAAACATTTTCCCCATATTTTGCATCTCTACTTCCTCCAAACTGAAGGGCTTGCCATGTCTTATGCTCTTGGATGACTTTCAGACCTGTTCACATAGTGCATGGCAAAAAAAAAGTTGGAAAATAATCTCCTAGTCCTTTGTTTTCCAGTTAGAAGGAAACTGGCTCCATTGTTTGGCTAACATCACTTTGGGTGACAACAGGTGACAAGGTGATGTGTATCAAGCATATGGGATACCAGGTATTCTTTCAAGCACTGCATGCAAAAGCAATCCCCCATTTATGGATAGAGAAACTGAGGCTCGGAGAGGTTAAGTAGTTGCCCCAAATGACTCAGTTTCCAAGGGGCTGATGAGAAGCTGCAGTGTCTAAGCACAAGACCAGGTGAAGCCAGTTAACATGACGAGTGAGGGGAGCCTTGAAGGAGAGAGAAACCCCAGGGAGTTCTCCGGACCCCAGGCATCATGATGACATTGCTCTGTGGTCTTGCTGCCCGTGGCCACCTCTGCAGCACCCCTTCCTTTGCCAGAGCCCACCGTTGTTCCTCCCTGGTTGCACACGGAACTCTCTGGGAGAAAGTTGCACTAGAAAACATTCCTATAAACTGCATGGAATATGCCCTCAGTGGGAGGCCCCAGGATTTAAGAGATAAGCCATGCTTGCCCCTACCTATTTTCCACACTGTATGTCCTGGCTTTTTAGTGAGCCATGAAATTAATTTAAGGATCATGACTATTTAAAAAAATAAATAGACTGTAGCAGATGACATCAGAGTATATCACATGTGCTCTGTGAAAGAAAGAGTGCTCTGCAGTGGCATGCGTGTGCATGTGTGTGTGGACAGGGTGGACGTGAAGACATGTCCTGGTCCATGGGACAAGTACTGAGAGTCATGCTTCTAGAAGTCTGACAGTCTTTACCCCGGCAGGAAAGGTTCTTGGGTCTCAGTGCTGGGCTGAATTGTGTGTGGGGAGAGGGTATAGTCAAGGCCGGAGGAGTGTGGAGATTCATCATTGAGGCTAAATATCCATCTCTGTCACTGTGCAAACCAGAGGTAGAGGTGAAAGGAAATCTAAAGAGCTACGTGGCTCCTCTGCAGCAGATGGGGAGTGAAGTGGAAGGCATTTGGTCAAATGGGCCATCTTGCATGCCTCTGGAGATTAGAGAAGCTGCTGTAACACATAGATTTATGAACAACACCATTACCTCTGTCCCCAAAGCAGGTGGCTGCTGTGCCATCGAGCGGGGGCTGGTGCCACCTCCTCTTTTCGTGATGAGTTGAGGCACTGCCTGCCAGAGTGAGTGCAAAGAGCATCTTGCTGTTCATTTGCATGTGTACACACACGCACACACACATGCACACACATTCTTGCAGTGCAAGGCACCAGCAGGAGGATCTCATTTGGACAATGTATGGCCACTTCCCCCAAATGCAGTGGCAGCATGCCTAATTTAGGGGACACGATTTTCTTTTTTTCAAGATTTTATTTATTTATTCATGAGAGATCCTAAATAGGTCTGAGCCTTGATTTCTTCAACTGTAAAATGGAGCCTCTGAGATTAGCTACCTGACAGGTTCATCATGAGGATGGAATGATCTAGCAAGTGATCTAGCAAATCTGGCCCCAAGCAAGTCCTCAAAAAGTGCTACTCATTATTATCATTACTTTATACTTCCAGAATTTCATATTTCATGGAAAAAATGAAGCCCCTTTCTTTGGCCCACTCTGATAGTAAAAATAAAAGGTAATAATAATTTTTATGTTTGAGTGCTTACTCTGTTCCAGGCACTATTTTAATTACTTGAAAAAGTTTTAGCAGTTTTAGAACTTCCCATTGACCCTACAAAGGAAGTACTGGTATGTTTTCCACTGTAGAGACAGAAAATAAATGGAGGCAGTGTGAAGTGCCTTCTCTAAGATCCCACAGTTTATTAATGGTAGAATCTGACTTTTAACCTTTGAACCTAAGCTCACACTTGAACTTACTGCCCTGTGCTGACTCTAGATTTTAATTGTATGTCTGAGACTCAGACCTAGTACTCTTTTTTTCCCTTAAGGCTTTATTTATTTATTAGAGAGAGAGAACAAATGGGGTGAGGGGCAGAGGGAGAAGCAGACTCTCAACTGAGCAGGGAGCCTGATACAGGGCTCGATCCCAGGACCCAGGGATCATGACTTGAGCCAAAGGCAGATGCTTAACCAACTGAACCACCCAGGCACCTCAGTAGACCTAGAATTCTTGACTTTTAATCTGATTGAGTTTCTCCAAACACTGAAGTTGTGAACAAACCATGTCAGTCAATGAGGAAAGACAAGCAGAGTATGGACATCCAACTTTTTTGGAGGCTTGAGAGCTGTATAAGACATGGGCATCCTCAGGAAGCTAATGGTTGGTAAGAATTTCAGCTCAAGAAATGTTCATGGAGCCTGCCATTAAGCCTAGAATATATTAGGGCTCCCCCATAAGTATTGTATGCATGGAGAATGAGTGAATGGCAAACATACAGTCATTGTAGGGGAGGAAAGATAATTTTCCCTCTACTCTTTTAGGTTCTTGGGTTAATCTAGACAGATTGACAGGAGAGAAACAAACAAGTTTAATAATATGGATCCTTTCTGTAGACATGAGACATACCCAGGAAAACCAAGTAACTCCCTGAAATGGCCTAAGCCACCAGCTTAAACACCACCTCCAGCTAACCACAGAAGAGAATTGTTGGGAGCTGGGGTGGAGAGGCCAGGTTGTCAGGAAAAGCATAGTAAACTAGGGTGAGATTCATGAAGACTGAAGTTGGTGCCCTCAACAGTGATAAGAGTTTCTAGAGTTTTAGTCATATTCCTTTTCCAGGTGCTGAGAGGAAGATACCCCTATAAGTAGAGCTTTCCCTTCTCAGTATAAATGTCTCTTACGAAAGGGTTAACATCTGCTCTTCAGAGCTTCTCCTGTCTCTGCTGTTTCTTAAAAATAACCAGCCTAAGAGGATGCTTATGCCAAAGAGGCATATTTTGGGATGACATGTTCGGTTGCTCTTCATCATTTCCTGGGGGAGGTGATGGTAATTGTCAATGGGATTCAGAGAAGGGAGGGATTGGTGAGGAAAACAGGAAATTTCATCAGAAGGTAGATAAACAAACTGAGTTAAAGTAATATCTTAATTCCAGCTTAGTGTTTCCCGAGCATGGCCCGTGTGCCAACCACAAGACTAGTGTCTAGAATGGGGCCAGAAAAGTCAATCCAACAAAAATCTTTTGCACACCCAGCCAGGCCCTGTGCTAGATACTGGGGGACAGATGGGAGCAAGGCAGACATTGTTTCCAACCTCCTAGAGCTCACAGGCCAGTAGCAGGTGTGATTAAATAAAAAAAAAAAAGGAAGCACAGAAATGAATGATTTTTCAGCTGTCCTGTGCTAGGGCATGCGGCGTATGTTTAACTCCTGACACAAGACAGAATGGTGGCTGACTTCTCCTCCTTTTCTCTCTCTGTCTCTGTCCTGTCTCTCCGTCTGTCTGTCTCTCTCCAGTTTCAGAGACCTCACGACTATTCCCCACCTTTCCGATTTGGCACGGTGCCTAACGGCAGTACCGAGAGAAACATTCGTAATAACTACCCCTACATGCATCAGTACATGACCAAATTCAATCAGAAGGGAGTGGAGGATGCCTTGGTCAGCTTGAAAACAGGGTAAGGATGATGGGGTTTGTTTGGTTGTTTTTTTTTTCCCCCCTCGCAGGCCTGCCAGCCCATAAACCTCACAGAAAATGACTCTCTGCGTGCCTTGGTGCTTATCTGCCCTCACCACTGTATTTTCTGGAAAGCAGCTGTGGTTAAGATTGAACCCCAGTTGAGGGCTGCTTTTGTGAACCTGATGAGCATCATAGGCTTCCTTCTGAGCTGTGTTAAGGAAAAGCAAATCCAGGACACTTTGAAATGCAGAGAACCAGAGGGGTTTCTTAGACTGATAAAGAACTTGGCCCAACTCCATGGGATATGTTAGCCACAGAAAAAGATCTAAAGAGTTTGTTAGCTTATTTAAAGTGCTGCAAACAAAGCACTGTAGATTTTTATCTGATTTTAGGTAGGAGTTTTTGGGGTGCAGCTTTGTGTGGAAGCCAGTAGCATACCATCGATGAAGGAGAAAGGAAAGGGAGAGAAAAGCAATGTGAACTTGGCCTCTGTAATGCTGCAGCTAATGTTCCTGGTGGTGCAGAGCGTGCACACTAGAAATAAGGAGCTGTCATGAAAAGACCTCACAGAGGCCAGTTTAGGATGTGAAGCTGGAGTGTGCTTCTCCTCCCCCTGCTGCTATTGTTTCTGACTTTGGGCAGATACCTCATTGTTCTCAGCCTCGTCTGTAAGATGGAAATCATAACGGGACTTTCAGAATGTTGGGGACATGCGAAGTGCATTTTGGGGAAGGTGCCATTAAAAACAATTCTGTTTTAAATGAAGGAGGGCAGTTTTGCTTATCTAGAAAATGAATTTCCATGGGCCATGTCAGTCATCAGGGATTTTTGAACTCGGAGACATGACTCTCCTGGGTTAGCCTGTAGCTTCATCCACAGCCTCTCCCTCTCGGCTATTCTGCAGGCCCACTGGGGCCCCTCCGTGGTGTCTGGGAGGGCAGATGGGCCCCGCCTAAACCCTCAGGCCCCGTCTCTGCATTATTCCTGGGACCTCTGGCTGGTAGCATTTTGTCCCTTCTGTCTCTGTGGAATCTCTTTGGGACCTCAGCAGGGGTTTGAGAAGCAGAGAGAGAGAGAGAGAGAGAGCGAGCCAGTCACTTATCCCAGACTCATTCTGCTCATTCTGGCCCCGGGGTGATTTGTAAAAATGTTTTATTAAAGCATAATGGGGATACAGAGAAGAGACACATATGAACCATAGTGCTTGATGACTATAAAAATGGACCATCCAGGTCAATTCCCAAGATGTAGCCAGTCCCCAGAAACCCCAGCACACCCTTTTCCCAGTGGCCCGCCTCACTTCTAAAGCTGAGGATGCTTTTGGCCTGTTATTCTAACATGTAAATGAAATCACACCAGACGTTTTTTCTGTCCATCTTCTAGCTCGCAGGTCTGTTTGTGACATCATTGCATGTCATTCTAGGTCATTCTAGGTCTTCCATTCTCATTGCTGCATGATGTTTCATGATGGGGTCACCCCTCTTTTCTAATCTTGGTAAACATCAGGGTAGTGTCCTTTTCGGGGCTATGGCGAGTAGGGCCTCTAGGCGTACTCTCACCCACGTCTCTGGTTGCACGAGTGAGCACACCGCTTTCGGTATATACCTAAGACAGGAATTGCCAAGCTATAGGTTGCATGTATGTTCGATTCTAACAGATACCAGAAAATTCTGATGACTTTCCAGCTGAGCCCCAGGTATGGGTTCTGTTTGTTTGTTTCTGCCATGGTTTTTTCATCAACACGTCCTATCACTTCGGACAGACCGTGAACGCAAACCTAGATGAAAATGGTTAGAAACAACCAGCGAAGCTTTGCTCGCCTCCTCTCTATCCATCTGTTACCCAGGGCACAAACTGCGTTTTCTTTCTTTTTCCATTTTTTAAAAAACAATACGAACAAAACGGAGTAAAGGAATGGAAACAGTTCCTGGCCATAAATTGTACAAATTGCTTTTTGGAAGCCCTGTAATAATTATGACATCCATCCCAGCAAACTTGGGCAGATGGCGAGTGTACCCTATACTCAGTCTTCCATGTGGGGGACGTTTTGTGCTGTTACATTAAACTCAGAAACTAGAGCTAGAGGGGCTATGAGTCTTTTTTAAAGAAATAACTCCGCATGCCCATAAGGGTGAAGGCTTAACCATGATCATTCCGGAAGGTTCAGTTTTGGTGGAGTTGAGGTTGGGAAAACCACTCACTACAAGTTTAATGAGCGGCTTAGTTAATTATTTAAATTAGTTAAATTAAATTGTGAATAGAGAACACATTTACATAATACAAAATCAAAAAGTATTGTATAAAAAGCTAAACAGTGAAGAAACTTCCTCCCACACTGTTTCTCTTCTGCCGAACGCTCCCCACAGTGACCACATTTCCTGAGTGTTCTTGTGTCCCTACAGATCAATCAATGCATAATTAAAAGCCTTTTGCAGTTCTTTTTTTTTTTTGAAAACATTCATTATTTTTTCTTCTATGGGTCTGTTGGTCTTTTTCTTATTAATTTATGTATTGGAGAAATAAGCCCTTTGTTGGTGGTGCGGTTACAAATGGTGTTCCCAGCTTTCTTATCTTTTGAGCTTCCAGATGGTATTTTTTTTTTCCATGCTGATTTTTATTTTTTTTTTTACAGTCAAATTTATCAATCTTTTTTTAAGGCTTCTGGATTGTGAGTCGTAATTCAAAAGTTCATCTCCACTCTAAAGGCAGAAAGTTACTTTCTTGGTGTTTTCTTCTATTCTGGTTACATTTTTCATGTTTTGACTTCCTCTTGGGTAGATAGCATGAGCTATGACTACAGCCCCTCAAGTGATCTCAAGTGATCTCAAGTGAAAATGAGAAGCGAAATGCCACCATAGAATTGCTCCCAAGATCCACCCAACTCTGTGTGGGTCATCTCTGCTTCTATTCCTCCTCCTTCGAGACTTCTGTCCTTTACGTATCTGCTTAATTTCTGATCTTTTCCATCTCTCTCACATCTCATTTCCTTTTTAAATTTTTCATCATGAAATAAGTTATTTTAATTTATGATGTGTAGTATGAAATAATTTTACAAGAGTAAATATCATGGGGATACAGTGTTGAAGGAATAATAATAACAAAACGAACTCATGTACCCACCACCTGGCTTTAAAAATGTAGTCATTCCCCTCCTTCACCAAAGCATCTCTGGAAGGTTCTATCCCTCTGGAAGATAGAGATGCCTTGTGTGCCCCTGAATTGTTAAACTTGTGGGCATTCCCTATATGGGGCTCCCAGCACCCTAAAATCCAGTGAACTCTGACTTAGAAAACCAGAGCATAGTTCAGCTGCTGGGTCCTGCCTATGTGCACACAGGTCTGTGACATCTGCTGCTCAGTGAACACGTGAGCATATACACCAGGGTCAATGGATGTGGAGGCTCCCTTATACAGCCTGGAAAAGCCTGGAACACAACAGAGGCCTTGGATTATGGTTAAGAGTTCCAGCTTGGTCTCAGCCTGGGTTCTGTCATTAGCCAGCCATGGCCTTGGGCTAGTCATGTCATGTCTCAGAGTCTCCGTTTCCCATCTAAAAAGTTAAAACGCTGAATTCTTAGATCTCTGAAATGGTCCTGATACTCTCTTGTTTGGGTTGAACACTTGAGTACTTAATTTAGAACTTTCCAAAAATACAAAATCTAGACAAGCCATGTATATAAATGCTGTCAGTTGTGCAGAAAGGTATTAGTCCAGAATAGACTGTAATAAGTCTCCAAGGCTGGGGGGGGGGTTCTCTACGCGTGACCAGTGAACCAACTCTACCTGAGTCACATGGTTACGTGTTCAATGCAAGTTTCTGGGCCTGACGTAGGACCTTCTCTCATGGTGCTGGAGCCTGGAAGCCTGCATTTTAACAAGCACCAGGTGATCCTGACACATGCTGAACTTTGAGAAGTACTGTTCTGAAGGAATAAGTTCCATAAACACGTTTTATTGAGACAACATAAGAAAAGTAGACCAATCGATATAACCATGTAGCTTATCTCTGGGATTCATAATGGCTCTAAAAGCATAGGTAGGGAGAAACTTGAAACTAAATTGAGTTTCATTGTTTATCAAAACTTAAGATAAAGGGATCCCTGGGTGGCGCAGCGGTTTGGCGCCTGCCTTTGGCCCAGGGTGCAATCCTGGAGACCCGGGATCGAATCCCACGTTGGGCTCCCGGTGCATGGAGCCTGCTTCTCCCTTTGCCTGTGTCTCTGCCTCTCTCTCTCTCTCTGTGACTATCATAAATAAAAAAGAATAAAAATAAAACCTTTAAAAAAAAAAACTTAAGATAAATGGAGAGAAACCATTCCAGAGGTTATCAGGCGAATCAATGAGAAAACAAGATTTGACGTGCGAACGTCGACAGGAATAGGTCTGTTGTGACATGTGGGGCTCTCCAGAACCAAAGGCGGATAAGTGGTTTGTGATCTCAGGTTTCTAGAACAGGATTTCCCAGAGGGTGGCCTGAGTAATGAGTCAGTAGGGGTGCTAATAAAAAGGTGGATTCCTGAGCCCCACCAAGCCTGCAGAATCCAGATCTCCAGGGGCAGGCCCGGGGAACCTGCATGCTTCAGCAAGCTCCTCAGGTGATTCTGACGTGCGCTAATCCAATTTTGAGAACATCTGCTCTAGAAGAGGGAGCTGAAACTGAAATGAGTGGAGGCAGATTTAGATTTACAAATGCTCCGTCATCAGAAGCTGACGTTCTCCAAGCAGTTTTGGCAAGTGGGCAGAACTGCAAGCAAAGCATTTATGCCAGATTTAAATGAAACAATCAACATCCCCAGGACTCCTAAGAGCCTAATATTTCAAGACATAGTGGGATGGTTTATGTTTCTTTTAACTGATGGTCATGTACGGTTATTTGTACATAAGTTTATGAAAAGTCGTGATTTCCTTTAGAAGCATCCATCTTTAGCTCTTGGCCACCTGGTCCCCTATTTATTTGATTTCATTTCCAGCCCCATGATGTTGGCAAACAGGCTGGCAT